TAGATACAGATGCTGAGGACCAGAGAGGCAAGGGCATGGCAAGGGAGATGTGTATATTCTTGGGGCTCTGGGATCCCGAGCAAAGCCTTGACCCACTATACCATGTCATCATTGGGTTGTCCACCGACTGTGCATGTGGCAGGTGCATGGAAAAGGTCCGACTAGAATGTGGTTCTTGATGGGTGGGAGTTTGGGGGAGGGAGATGTGGGGAGTGCACTGATGCAGCAGAAAGCAGTGAGACCAGAGAGTGCATAGACAGCAAGATGCACTGGCTCTGGGCTTTCTAGACTCAGAGGATTGGGTTGAGAGAAAGGGGACGGAAGTCTCATCACTTGTGGACGACGTGGCCCAGCACTGGGGTGTTGGAGTGTTCTTGGGAGTGGTGGTGGTCAGCCACTTGCAGCCCTGGGTCTGGCCCCCGTGTGATCTGGGGGCGTCAGTCTCCTCTGCACGGCAATCTCCTCGTCCGTGAAATAAAGGCATCGACCTGACCACCCACAGTTCCTCTCTGGTCCCTCAGTCCATGTGTGTGGATGGAAAGGGGCATCTCAGCAAAGGCTCTGCACTGCTGGGTCTCAGACCGGCTTCTCAGGGTGGAAGGTGGCTTTGGGGTTTGCTAGCTTATGTGTAATTTTGCCCTGTTCAGCACAATTCCACAAGGGTTTGTGGAGTGCCACCTCCCTTAGCCTTGGGCTAGAGCATGTGTGAGACAGAGTCTCACAAGGACACACCTTGAGAGCAGTCCCCAGACCCTGCCCACTTTTGTGTGGCATCTGTGCAGCCGTGAGAGGTGCGGAGCTGGTGTCCGACTCTGCAGGTGGCTCACTTGGGTACTCAGAACACTAGGTTCCCCTTCAGGGAGAGACTGTGACTTGGGGGTGGGGCGAGTGGAGAGGGTACCAGAGTCTTTAAAAGCGCAAGCATCTCAGAAGAGCAAAGGGAGAAGCCTTCAAGGCCGATGCCTCTGGCGTTGGCCCGGTTGCATGTGTGTAAGCCACGGGGTGTAGTGGGGGTCGGGTTGAGCTGAAGATTTTCTGGGACTTCTAGGATATAAAAGCAGAGTGACCTTCCTGTTTCCCCCTTTAGCTTGGATTTGAGCCCACAGTTCTTCCCCTTACAATGGGCCTGATTTCTATGGAAAGAATGGGTCTGCCCTGTTCTAATTAGAGAGTCGAGGCCTTGTTTGATGCAAAATAAATAAAACAGACTGTGCATCCAACTCTACAGTTGGCGCAGGCCCCCTGAGAACTGCCTGCCCTGGGGTGGGTATGTGGGGCACCATCCACGAAACACCTGCGCCCCCCGCCCCCAGGAAGCTGAGGGCCATGCAGGGAATGGAATGACAGCTCAAGGACATGCGGTGGCAGGGCAGCATGAGGCTCCGAGGTCCAGCTCCCTCCTGTCACCCTCTGCCTCCTTTTTATCCTGTAGTTCTCCTGTTTGCCACTTAGCAGGTGCCCCTCTGAGTCTGTCAAGGGGCCCATTGTCGACCTATCATTTTGTGGGATGGGCAGGTTTTGTGCTCTCTGAGGGGGATCTTGGTTGAGCCCATGGATCTTGTTGAGGTTCTTTTATCATTGATCATCCTGTTTTAGAGTATGAAGGAAATGACAGAGAATTTACCCTCACGTTGAAATTTCAGAGCAGTTGATGATGGCAGTTCTGCACTTTCCGTTAGCAGTAATGGTATTATGAGTATACTTCTAGTCATGCCAGATGCTCCCATGGTCAGAAGATGAGAAAGACACAGCCTCTTCCTGCTGTGGAGCCTGGCGAGGTGAGGCGAGAGGCCATAGCCACCCCGTTTTCTGGCTGCCTTGTTACGCTAAAGTTGCCCATGCTAAGACCTGAAATGGACACTTTCTACACTGGGGACTGGGTGGGGAGGGCCAGGGAGAAAAGGGTTTGGGATTTGGACTGAGACGACACCTCCTAGGAAGTGGGGTGACCCAGTGGGGACAGTTTCTGACAGATTGCTGAGGGACATTTAGTGGAGAAGTTTGACTTTCTTTCCACAATGCTACTTGAAGAAGCTACCTCACCTACCAGCCAGTTTGGACCCCTTTGGCATTTCTGGAGAATGCCTCCTCGTAGGGTAACAATTCCCTGCTAGGTGAAGTAGGGTTTGAACCAATTTCCTCGCCTTTCCTAAGGCATCCTGTGCTGGTTCTGAAGGTTTGGCCTTTTGGTCCTTTCATCTGCCCAAGGCTGGAGACGGGAGGTCTTGATATGTTTTGCCGTTTCATACTGCGGGAGCCAGTTGGTTTGCTGGAGTTCCACTGCTCCTTAGTTCAGTAGGAGTTCCTTCTGGAAAGTAAACTCACACATGTTTGGGTGGAGGGATAGATAGAGTGCTGCCCCAGGGCACGTTGAGTCAGGATTCTTCCAGATGCCGCACTGGCATTTGAGGGCTTTTCTACAGCTGAGTGTGTAGGTGGCAAGCTGGTCCCCCGAAAGAGGTCTCTTTGTAAGGGTCCACTGAGGTTTCTGATCATTCCCTTAGAGTGTCTGCTGGAGGTTCCTTCCCGTTAGCTTGGTCTGTGGTGGAACCCTGTCTCACGTGAATATCCCACACGCCGCGGGAGTACGGAATGTCGAAGGAAGATTGCTTGACAAAGTTTACATTCAGATTATTACAGCATTACTCTTGATCTGTGAATTTTAGCATTTGTGGCTCAGCAGTTCACAAGTGACCAGAGTAATGTCCAACCTTCCTGAGCATAACTTGCATCTTGGCCCGAGAAGCAGGTGGGCCCATGAGCCTCTGAGCCGATGGATCAGCCTGTGCGGCACCCGCAGCTCCCCGGCCCCGCTTGTTCCATATGTGATCTAATTTCGTCCTCACAGCGACCTTGGAATTGGGACACGATTGCTGCCAGTCTGTATATACCTGTGAAAGCTGAAGAAGTTATGAGTTCTACACCAACTTATTTTGACAAGTAGAAGGAAGGCAGAGAAAGTTGCCCACCACCAGAGCTGACTTTGTTCTAACTTTTTGAGTATTTCCTTTGAGGCTATTTTTCTTCTTTTTCACTTAACTTTTTTGCATAATCACGTTCTGGTCAGAAAATTCTCTTTATAAAAAATAGCATTTAAGAAGCTGTGCAAGCTCTGTTTCTGTTTCCAGGCTCTGAGTTTGTTTCCATGTTGGGGTGATTTTTGGAGGGCCTCTGTGCGGGGTTCGTTTGCCCATCCCTGGGCTGCTGCTGCTTTGGGGGGCAGTGGCAGGCAGGCAGGCACGGTCCATTCAGTTTCAGCATCCTGGGCCGTGGCATTCAGACCCGAGCAGGGCCCTTTGTGTCTAAAGTAGTAGTTGATTGGAGTGCTAATGAATCAATTAGAAAATTACTTGCTGCTGGGGTCCCCAGCCAAACCAGGGTTGTGCACACGTCTTAGAAAACCATCCGAAGGCCGTACGCGTATAAATCTCTCTTGGCTGGGGCCCTCGTAAATCGCAGCACAGCCTTTCTTGGACCTGTTAATCACTTGAGAAAAACAGGACCACTTCTGCTTCGCAGGGCTGCCTTGTGCTTGGCACGGTTTTCTAGCTTGTGCCTCTTCCACTGGTGAGAAGGGAGACTGGCGCTCTCAGTAACAGCATTTGTACCGCACTGCAAAAAGAATCGTTTAGGGCCTGCTCTCGGGTCTCATTCCTACAACAAGCCTGTTGGGAGGTACTGTTACTGTTTCGCCCGTTTTTATAGATGGCAAAACTGGGGCTCGGGTAGTGTAAGCAACCTGTCCTCCAGTCACCGCCTAACGGAAGGCGGTGGTGGCACCTTCAGATTCCCAAATCTTCACGCGGTCACTCCGCTGTGATGCCTTTCCAAATGGACACCCCCAGTTAATATGTGTTAGGAGGGTTCTCATAGTCCCAGGTTGGGGGTGGCAGGCTGAGGCACAGCCAGTAGAGATGGAAATGGTGGAGGCATTTCTGGTTAAATACCCAGGGTTGGGGTTTAGGGCAGTTTAATCTGGGGCAGAAGGGTTGGAGTGACAGCCAACAGCTGAGGCTGAAGGGACCCTGGGTGGAGGGTGGCTCAGGGGCTCCAGATGGCCAGCAGTTTGCGTTATGTGTTCCAGAACACTCACCAGGTATGTTTGAACCTAAAATGGAAATGGGTAGAGAAGAGACAGGTTAAAAAAGATGAAATTGGTATGAATCCCAACTGTGATGGGAGCCATTTCTTGAAAAAGACATCTGCAAAATAATGATTTTGGTGTTTTTCTGGCCTGCCACACCTGTTTCCTCATTGGATACTCATCTCATGTGACCCACCCCCAGCCTTTGTTTCACGAGCAAGCGGCATGCCTCAGCCCTCACGCGGAGCAGCTTCCTGCTGGTTGACGCCGGAGCGAGCTCTGTGCTGGTCCCCTCTTTTAATTTGGTTTCATTTGGGGGGAGGTAGTGGCCTCTGTTTCTGGGCTGTGGGGCAAGACCACTTGTTTGATAACCTCAGATTCTGTCCTTTTGTCCCCAGGATGGTCAGTGTGTCGTGTAGTTTTGATTTTTCTATGTCCACCTTGGGGGTCCTTGGACACCCAGCAGTTCCTTTGTTCACTTAACAAACATTTGAGCATCTGCTGTGCGCCAGGTACTGCTGTAGGTGCTGGGAGCACAGCACAGGGTAACCCCGCCTGCCCTCATATAACTGACATTCTAGCGCAGGGCACAGAGGCCTGCCTGGGTTGGAGACATGAGCAGAATAACTCTAATTTCTCCTTCATAGTGGCTCTTTTTGATGTGCCTAACATAGTGCACGGCATTTTCTTTGTTGTTGAGAGATGGGGTCTCGCTCTGTTGCTCAGACTGGAGTGCAGTGGTGTTATCATAGCTCACTGCAACACCTGTGATCTCACCCCGAACACGTGCGATCATCCTGCCTCAGTCTCCCTGGTAGCTGGGATTGTAGGTGCATGTCCCCCACACATGGCTGATTTTTAAAAATATTTTGTATAGATGGGATCTTGCCATGTTGCCAGGCTGGTCTCGAACTCTTGGCCTCAAGTGATCCTCCTGCCTCAGCCTCCCAAAGTGCTGGGATTATAGGTGGGAGCCACTGCACCCAGCCTGTGCTGGGCATTTTATATTTGTCATCATGTTCCATCTTCAGAAGAGCTTTGTTCAGGCAGGTTTGGTTATCTCACCTTTGAGGACGAGGCTGCTGAGAACACACAGGAGGTAGGTGCTCAGTAAGTCCTTGTTGAATGGGTGAAGGGCAGCAGCTTGCTGGCGGTGGAACTGGGTCTCTAGCCTGGCCTAGGCTCTCAACAGGACACCAGGCTGCCTGTCCGGGGCTGTACCTGTCACGTTGGGGCTGGCCTGATTTTTCCTTGAGTGTGAGTGAATGGCAGAGCCTGGATACATTGTGGTGCAAGGTCCTGGTCTGGTTTGTAACCAACTAGGTGGTTATCCATTGCCACTGCTGGAGGGTTCCCTTGTTTCTGGCAGTTACAGGAGGGAAGATAAGATTTAGAGGCCACTCACTTCTGTGGCCCTGTAAGTCCCCGGCCTTGCTGCTCCAGGTACATTGACACTACCATCTGAGCAGGGGGTGGGGAGTGAGAATGGGATGTGCCTGCCCTACAGCCCTGCTGCCCAGGACCGCAGGTGACCTGAAGCCAGCACAGATGAGGCAGCGCGTGCAACTCACGCCCCATCCATCTGCCTGGCCAGCTCCTTGGCCTTCTGATATTGACTTGGCCCCACCAAGTTCCAGGTATTGGAAATCCAAAACAAATAAAGCCCAGCCCCATAGACGGAAGCAGGTTGGCTCTCTCTTTGCGGAAGCTCAAAGTGCAACAGCTGTGTGGGTAGCCAGCTCTCTGGGTGTCACCTGTTCTGCAGGCTGTTGGAGTAAAGTCCCAGGCAGGCCTCAGCGTGTAGGTGAGGGAATTAGGAGCATGTGGCTGGCCATGGGGGCAGGGCAGAGGGGGTCTACTTCCTTTGCCTCTTGTGTGTCCCCTTGACCTTCAGGCTCCTTTTTGAACCTTCTCCTTTTCTCTCTCCTCTTTCTGCTGACTCTCTCCTAATTCCCACCAGTCTTCTCCCCGCCCCCACCTTCTCTGTGTTTCCTACTACCTTGTGCGTGGCCTCAGACTCTCCTCCACTGTTCTCAGATGGTGAGCCAAGGGGCAAAGTCCACCACCGAGTAAAGGTGACTTTGTGTTGCTGTGACCCAGGTGGGGTTGGAGACTCTGACCTCTCCCAGATGGTGTTGGTGGAAGGTGAAAGTTGGCTGTGCGGATGTCCAGGTACAGGTGTGTTATTTTGTGTCCTGTAACCCTGAAGCAGGAACAGCACGTAGGATTAGGAAAGGGATGGGGGATTGGGGGCGGGGTAGAGTGTTGAGAACGTTGGAAAGAATCCAAGATGTGTTCGTTTCCTAGACGCAGTAACAAGGTACCATAAACTAGGTGGCTTTAAACAACAGAAATTTCTTCTCTCACAGTTCTGGAGGCGGAAAGTTCAAGATTAAGGTGCCAGCAGGGCCGTGCACCCCCTGAAGGCTCTCGAGGAGAATCTGTTCCATGCCTTTCACGTACCTTCTGGTGTCGCCTACAGTTCTCGGCGTCCTTGGCTTGCGTTACTCCAGCCTCTGCCTTTGTCGTCATTCACCCTGTGTGTCTGCGTGTGCAAACTTCCCTCATTTTATGAGGGTACCAGCCGTTGGATTAGGGCCCACCAGTGTAGTCAAGCTAGACTCAGGACCTCATTTTAGCTTGGTGACGTCTGCGAACGACCTATAGCCTGCCCGCCCTCCGTATCCGTGTGCTCTGCATCCTCGGGTTCAGCCAACCACAGATGGGAAATATTTTGGAGGAAGAAACAATGAAAAATAATACAAATTTAAAAACACAGTATAACCATTATTTACATAGTATTTGCACGATGTTAGGCATTATAAGTAACCTACGGAGGATGTAAAGTGTGTGGGAGGATGTGCCTGGTTTACATGCAAATACTGTACCATTTTGTACATGGGCCTTGAGCACCCAGGGATTTTGGTATGCTGGGGTGGGACGGAGTGGGGGTGTGGGCCTGGATACCAAGGGACGACTGTTTCCAAATAAGGCACCTTCACAGGTGCTGGGGGTTGAGATTTGAACATGTCTTTTTGGGGGACACAGTTCAATCCACAACACAAGATAACGGTGTGAGGCCCCAGATCCAAATCCCTGTTACAAGGGGCCATAATGATCCTCATCTACTCTGTAATTTCAGTCAGCCCAGTAACCTTACGTCAGGGATCTGCTGTGTGCCACAGTCTCTGGGCTTGGCCAGGCGCAGAAGTGAGACATCGCTTGGCTTTTGGGGTGAGATGCTACTTTTATGGAAACCGAGTTTTTTTAAAAAAAGCTGAAAGAGAATATTCATGCAGGCACTTCAGAGATGGCCTCAGAAATAGAGACAGGCTTTTCCTTCCTGCCCTATTAATTTTGAGGCCAGCTGGCTCAAGCCGGCGTTGACTTCTCTCTGAAAGGAGGTGTGGGGAGGGGCCGGGAACCCCTGGACTTGGAGGTGCTTTCAGTGCCTCGTTCCCCTTCCTGCAAGGGAGGGCCAGGGCTTGGATGGCTCTTGGAGTGTGGTTCTGGTGTCGTCTGTTCCAGGCAGCCTTGGTAGCCGGGAACTGTTTTATTAGAAGGGCAAATATTGAATAGTGTCAATAAGGATGTTTTTTATAGGGGCTCCTGTGTTTTTGCTGTGGGTGAACATGAAGCCAAGTGTGGGTTAGCCTCCAGTAGCTGGGGCCAGCCCTTTCTCTTCCCCCACAGAAGTTTCCCGTCTGAGCAGAAAGAACCAAGCGCAAGTCTCCTCGCGCACAGGCATTCTTCTCATGGCTTTCCAGCATCCCTGCGTCTGAGGAGAATTTCCGCACAGACGGCAGGAGTGGAGTAGAAAGCATTTGTAGCTATTGTGTTAGTGAAAACCAACGTAATGTAAATAGGAAGTCTGGATTATACGTATCCTCAAAACGCTGCGACAGAAAACCACACACACCAAATGAAGCTTGCAGCTGTGTGCCTGGGCTCACACCCAGGAGTGCCGTCCGCGGGCGGCGGGGGCCCTTGTTCTGGGTCGCTACCCTCCATCTCCTCTTCGCTCTTCTCTCTCCTCTCCCAAAAAAGAGAGAGAAAAAATTAATTGGACGTTTTCTGCAGTTCTTTCCTGTCTTTCCAAGATCTTCACCACGTTGAACGTGTTGAGCGTGTTCAGAGTCAGCTGGATTAGCCGCCCTTTCTAACAGCATCAGGAGGAGGCAGGGCACATTTCTATGCCCACGTGAGCCAGCCACAGGAGGTGCAAAGAAGTATCTTGTCCATACGTTAATAATCTTCCCACTTTCTGTCCCTAAATGATACCTTTCCTGGGAGTGTCTTGGAGCACCCTTTCCTGCTTCGAGAGCCAACTTTGGGCAGAAGCACAAGTATTTATCATGCCAAGGTTGTCTGTGTGCGATACCTATGTATCTCTGTGAGTAGATCAATTTCATGTCTTATTTCCAGAGTGTGTTTAGATACATGTTTATAATGAAGGCAACTAGATAATAAACACAGATAAGACTCTGGTAATTCCACTATGTAGGGATTAATATTTTTTGTATCCTGATTTATATCTTGTTGGTGTGACTTTTTTTCTAAACACGTCTGTACCCCTACAAGGCCATGTCTAGTGAGGCGGTATCAGTCCACTTGGCAGAGTGGGTCCAGGCGTCTACTCGGAGGCACCTCTTGGCCATCGTGGCCCTCTCCCTGGTGGGCTTTCTCAGCGGCCCGGTGCTGGCTCCCCGCTGTCCATCCTTCCTTCCTCTTCCGGTCTCCGTGGAGCCTTAGCAAGTGCAGACCACCCATCCTCAGTTTGCCAAGTTGCACGTGCTCTTCTCAAATCCCGGGGCCTGTGTTGACGCAGGGTTCCCTTCCAAAAGGGCTGCCCACACACTTCTTTGCCAGGGGCTCTTGCAGCCCCTTCCTCCAGTCAGAAGCTCTTTGCAATTGACATTGCCAAAACTAATTTCTTTCCTTTGGGGAGAGGGGTTGGGGTATAATCCTTGCTGCAAATCCTAGAGTTCAGGACTGCTGTGTCCAGGTGACCTTGTGTGTGTCGAGAGAAAGGTTGTATGGAGCTATGGTTTTTAACCTTTCTGGGAGCACAGATCCCCGTGAGACTGAAATTCATTGTCCTCTTTTCCAAACTCTACACAGTCACACATACAAATAACTGTGCCTCATAAGTCTGGGGGTTTGGGTTTGCAGACCCTCTGAAGTCCATCCCAGAGCCCCTTTAGAGGCAGACACACTCCCCTACCACTGGGTGGGCGTCTTAGTGTCCAGTTTGCCTGCTGTAGGATAGCTGCAATGGTAGTTCCCCGACAGTTGTGCTGCTGTGAGGATGGTGATGATTATAACAGCTTAGATCTACCGAGCTCTGATGATGATGTTGTTCAGCCAGTTCTCACCATGACCCAGTGGGCGGAACATACTACCATCCCGTTTCACAGAGGAGCAAATGGAAGCTCACAGAGGTGAAGTGACATGCCCAGGGTCATGCGATTAGAGCCAGGATTGGAACCCAGGCAATGCGGGTTTAGACTGCGTGCCAAGCACCTGACATGCAGCAAGGAATGCATCGGGTGCTGTGTGAGTGGCAGCAGCAATATTAAAAGCAGCAGAGGGTTAGGACACAGCCTCCCCTCTCCCACGGTCCCCCACCTGTCCTGAGCATCCTCCTGGTACAGGATCCGGGCTACGGAGGAGCTCGCAGGCGGGTGGAGGCGAGCGCAGATCCGCCAATCCTGGGAAATGTGTAAAATCCTGTTCCTGAAAACCGACCGGGTTCTCAAAGTGTCCCGGCTGGCATGTTTTGCTAGTCACGAAACATGATCCATACGCTGTATTTTAGGACTCCCCATCTGTCGGCATCGGGGAGCGTTTTCCCTTGAGGAAGCTCAGAGCATGCCAGCTCACCGAGAGGGCCGGTGGGCAAGGCGGATCTGTGATATGTGATAGTAGGGTGGGCCTAGAGGGCTGGCACGTGGGAGACATGGCTAGGGGCTCTACCCAGGGCGTGCCAGGTCCCTTTCCCGTTACTTCACTCAAGTTTTAGACAAATGCCCACTTTTGAGTCTTGGGGAGGTTGTTTTCTCTGGTCCAGGGTTTCAAGACTGCTAAGAGGCTGAGCAGCAGAGATTTGAACTTCAGTTTTTAGATTGTCCAGTGTTCAGTGCCTTGTCCCTCCTGCTTCTGAGCCTTCCCACTGCAGGTGGTGAAGGACAGGGTGTGGGACCTGCCCAGGAGTGGGCGGCGGGAGAGGGAGGGCATGAGCCTTGCTCTTGGGCCTCGGCTGGTGGTAGAGGAAGACGCTAGGAGGGCTATTGATCCGCCCGCTCCTCCCAGGACGAGAGGGCCACAGCACATTCTGGCTTTCTTTTTAAAAATGCATTAACCTGACCGTAAGCAGGCCCTGGTTTAAAAATAAATAAATAAAAATAAGACAAGAAGCAAAACAAGTGGGAGAGGGGGACAGGTGGAGGAAAACCTTAGGGAAAATGAAAGGGCACTTGAGGGAGGCCCTTCTTGCTGAGCCTTCCAGCTGCAGAGCAGGACACCTGGGCTCCCAGCTGGTGGCCGCTCTGCTTTTCTGTGCCCAGGGCCATCTATACCTCCCTTGGCTCAGTCTGTGCAGGGGCATGTTAGCTAAATCTGGACGCTGTGCTGTGGCAGTCCACGTTTGAAAGCCCACTGTGACCCCGACTTGAGCAATGCAGCTTTTCTCTTTGCCCTCTAGCCACACGCTGGCTTTCTCTTGGTTTCTGCGAAGTGCCAGGTACTGGCCTTTGCACATGCTGTTCCTTCTGCCTGGAAGTTGCTTCCTTCCCCTCCCCCTTTCCCTGCTCTCCAGGTTAGCACCTGCTCATTTTGCAGGCCTCAGCCCAGAGGGCACTTCTTGGGACAACCCTTTGTTGACCTCTGGCTGGGTCAGGTTTCTTCTTATGCATCCCCATGGCTCCCAGGACTTCTCTTTTGTAGCTCTTCCAGAAGCCTCATAAAATAATTAACTTTCCCTTTACCGTGTGTAGCAGTTAAGCTCCAGGAAGGCAGGGACTGGTCTGTCCTCTTGACTATCCTGTTCGTCTTTACCTTTGGCTACTATTGGCTGCATACCCATTGCCTGGCACAGCACCTGCTGTCGTGGGGTCTCAGGAGAACCTTGTGGAATGAATGGGTAGCAGGTCAGGGTCTATTTTGTTTGGCCCATGGATGCAGTTTGGGTGAGGGTGGAGGGAGTACACATCAGAACCAGAAGTCACTCTGATTTCCTCCTGGTTTTCAAGGTGTGGGCCCACTGGGGGATCAGGATAGGGCTTGAGAGTGGAACCCCCAACACATTAAAGGGGAGGACTTCTTTCTGCCCTAGTTTGGTAGACTCCGCAGCAGCCCAGAGCAGGTGGAGCCCTTGAAGGTGGTCTCTGCCAGCCTGGTCCCTTTGTGGGTTGAAAGATATGGAGCCCAGTGAACAGAAAGGACCTAGCCACGAGCACACAGCAGAGCCTTGGAAGACCTTTACTTGGGCCCCACTTTATTTTATTTTATTTTATTTTATTTTATTGAAGATGGAGTCTTGCTCTGTTACCCAGGCTGGTCTCAAACTCCTGGCCTTAAGCGATCCTCTCACTTCAGCCTCCCAAGTCGTTGGGATTACAGATGTGAGCCATCACACCTGGCTCTGGGCCCTATTTTAATTGTGAAAAGGGAATTAATCTAGCGCCAGGTGCCTGCCAGCTTACTCTGCAGACCTTGTTTCATTGGCCCTGTAGAGTGACTCAGTCGTGGCAGCACTGACTTACAGAGGAGGGGTGGAGGCTCAGGAGGCTTTGGTTGCTTGCCTCAGAACACGGCAGAGGCGGGATTGGGACTTGGGTATTTCCGATTCCATAGCCCAGTTCTTTCAAATGCCCTACCTCTCGGCAGGGTTGGATGGGATGACATCCTCGTTTCTCAGGTTGGCTCTGGTGGGACCCTCTGCATCCTGTTAGCCAGTGGAGTTGTGGCCACTTATGGGGGCCTTTATTGTCTCCTGGGTCGGCATGGGGGTGTGCTGGGGTCCACAGAGACCTCCTCGTCCCCTCCACCTGGCTTTACCTCCTGTTTGTCTCCTGTCTCTCCACCCCCAGGGGAGCCTCAGAAATTCCTCTCTCCCGTAATCAGTCACCATTTCCCTGGGAAACTACCGGGGCTCCTGGGAAGGTACTGAGGGTGATGAAGCAAAATTTGCACCATTCTGAGAGTAACTTTCCATCGTTGGTGGCTAAAAATAGTATGTACTCATTTCTCCTTGCTGTTCCTGGATTTTCTTTTGGGGCTTCGCGGGAGCCACTTGCCCCTTTGTCCTTCCCTCCCTGCCAGCCCCAGGCAGGCGTAGAGATTCCTGCCACTTGGGGACAGGGGTGGGTTTGGTGCCGCTCACCTCCTGGAGAGCAGAACCCCTGGGACCTCCAAGAGGAAGAAACTCTAGTTCTCTGTGGCGGCAAACAGTGCGTTGGTGGCCTGGCACTTTGGCACATGCAGGGAGGCCAACTCCCTTTGCAAATATTACTGCAGCCGAAAAGAGACAAGCTACTACCTTCAGAGGACTTTCTTTGTGTAGACTGTTTTTTTTTTTTTTTTTTAAGATATCTGGAATGCACAGAGGCAAGAGAGATAAAATTAATTTTGTAAATATTGACTGAGCAGAAGTTTTATGCCAAGCCACATGTCAGGGACCCGGGAGCTTACCAGAAAGCACCACAACACAGTCACTTCCTTGAAGGCACATGTCCTCCAGGTGGGGGAAGAAAGAGGTGCTAGGACAGCAGTAGAGCGGAGAGTCCCAGGGTCCTGCTCCCCACCCCATCCTCTGTTCCCAAATTAGTTCATGATGCTGAACTGTGTTTTACCTTCCCCCTTTCTTGAGGCACTGAAGAGTCCCCTCTCCCCTAGTTTTTTGAGTGCTTACTATGTTCTAGGGCTAGGCTAGTATTTTACTTGGATTTATTTCATGTACTCCACACAAGCCTATGAAGTCATCACTGCTATCATCCCTTTTTTTCCAGCTGATGAAATTGAGGCCCAGAATGGTTAATTAACTTGCCTGAGGCCCCACAGCTAAAATGTTGCAGTCCGGACTCAAATCTAAGCAGATTGATTCCAGAGCTCATTCTCCTAACCACTCCTGTATAGACACATCCACACTGAGGATGTCTGTCTACTGAGACTCCACTATCTGCCCAACACAAATCATCCTGAACAGGTGCTTTCTCTTTAAAAATCTTCAATGTGCTTTCTGTTTAATCTTTAATACTCCTAGTAACCTGTGGGATAAGAACTCCCGCCTCCCCCATTTCCTATTCTTTTTTTTTTTTTTTTTTTTTTTGCCAGAGATATCAAGAAGGAACTGCCCTCAGATTTCTAAGCAAAGAATATTATTTAGCTTCAAATTGCAATTTATTAATATTTGTTTAAACGTCTACATCTCTCTTTTTTTTTTTTTTTTTTTTTTTTTTTTAACAGATTGCACCAAATGGTGATAGGCGAAGTGGCTTATCCAAGGTCTCTGGAGAGGGCAGGATACTTTGGAGGCTGGAATTGAACCATGTTGTCTTAGTCCAGAGCCTGTGGGAGAGAGAAGGGCCATGAAAGCACTCTGCAAACTGTAAAGTGCTGTGTGAAATGCATTGCATGTGAGAATAGGCGTGTGTTTGGAAGACTAGCTTTAACTTGGACCTCATGCATCCTATTTGGGGATTTCTTGCACTGTCGTCATGATCTGGTTTCAGGTACCTGTGAAAAATTATGGTAATTAAAATGTAATTTGGAATCCCCTGTTGGCTCACAGCAGCTGGTCCAGATGTAGGAGGCTGGGGCTGTTTGTGCTGGAACAAGCTGAGGCTTGTTAGGGGTGTCACTTTATTCTGCCCTTTATGTTGCTGGGGAGGAGAGTGGGGGCAAAGAGATACAGGAGCTATTTTTACATCGTTCGCGTCATGTTCAGAATTACTGGATGTTTGTGGTTGAGTCCCTGTTTAGCCTCAGCCGGGGGGAGAGAACTCCCTTTGCTGCCTGGGTCTGTATGGAAACTCTAGCTCATACCCCTTGGGGGTATATATTGCTACAAAGACGGAGGGGCCCAAAGTGACCGTGCAGTCACCTGGGCAGTTCGGCATTGTCTCATTAGGGCTTAGCTCTTCCAGGGCTGTGCAGAACGCTCGCGAGGGTGGCTCAGGGGTGTGCGAGTGTGGGAGGCCGTGTGCTCAGCCCTTCCCTTACCATTCAACAGATGGTTTCTCAGTTTGAGATGCAGGCTAGATCCTCTACCAGGTATTTGCAAATCGAAGTTGAATAAGGTATTGTCCCTTAAGGATTTTATAGTCTAGCTGGGGACATGGAAAAATAAACATTCAGTTTAGCATAGGCAAGCCAGGCATACACGCCAGCTCTGTTGGAGGTGTGGGCGACACGGCGCCATCCTAGCAGAGGCACAGGGGCTGTGGGAGCGCAAAAGGGAGGTGCCTGGATCCTGTGGGTGGTCAGAGGTGGCTTCCTGGAGGAGGTGATGAGTGGCAGGAGCTGGCTTAAGGGATTGGGGATAAGTACTTTTGGTTTATTTGCTGTTCAGCACTATTTGTATACATACATGTTATGGATGACTATAGTCATTATATCTCATGTTATTACTCAGTTGAGGTCCTGCAGTTTTTATTTTTATACCCAGTGTGCTCACTGTCTTTGAAAAGTTTGAGGAAAAACAGTGTTTTGTGCCAGCCAAGCCGTTGTTGCTTCCAAGGTCAGAGAATGAAGCAATAGTGGCCTCGGCTGCACAAGACCTGCCCTGGCAACCCCTGCGCCTCTCCACGTTGACAGGGCAGCCGCGCTGGGCTGTGGCAGGGCAGCGGGTTAAAGAGAGCAGACCCCCAAACTCCGGGTCCCGGCCTGGGTACGTGTGAGATGGGTGGGGGCAGGCTCAAGGCTTGCCTTCGTGGCCTGCTCAGCTGTCGGGGAGGGTGGAGGTGTGTGGCCGGGGTGGAGGGGTTGCTGGCAGACACCGCTGTGAAGCCCAGCTGTGGATTCAGTGACTGCCAAAGTGGAAGGCAGAGAAGACGGCAGAAGCCAGAGCAGAGCATTCACCTGGGCAGTGCAGCGTGTGCATGGCAGGTTTGGGGCAGGGGCTCTCATGCAGGGTTGTCAGTGTACTAGTTCAGTGTTCTTTCTGCGTCCGCCGCTCGTGTGCATTCATTCATCCAGTGTGCATTCCGCTGGGACCTCTCCTGCCACACTTTGCCCACGGTGTTGAGGAAGCCAGTGAATTAGGTACAGTCCTGCCCTTTGGGGACTGACTGTCCAGGGTGGTCACTGCGCAGCTGGTGGAGGGGCCTGACCCAGCGTGCACCTTCTGGGACCCTCTGCTATAGCTGGAGTGTCCACACCACTCGTAAGGCACGTGTTGGTGCTGCAGC